AGTACTTCACTTAGGAAAGAAAAATCAAATGAATACCCATAAAATGGATGGTAGTACTGCTGAAAAGGATCAGCAGTTTATAGTGGATCACAATGTGAATATGAGTCAATGTGATACAGCTGCAAAAAAAAAAGGCTAATATTCTGGGGTGTATTAACATGAGTATTGTAGGAAAGATATTGGAGGCAATTGTCCTACTCTACACAGTACTGGTGAGGCCTCAGCTAGATTATTGTGTCCAGTTCTGGGCATCACACTTTAGGAAAGATGTGCTCATATTGGAGAGAATTCAGAGAGCAATAAAAACGATAGAAGGATTAGAAACCTGATATATGAGGAAACATAAAAAAACAGGCATGTTTAGTCCTGAGAAAAGATCAGATAACAGTCTTCATATATGTTAAGGACATGTAATAAAGAAGACAGTGATAAAACGGTTAACTACCTGTAACTGTTGTTGTTCGAGTTGTGATGCAGATATGTGTTCTATGGGGGGGTGCCCCGTGCAGTGGAGCCGGATAACTTTGCCTAGCAGTACCTGTAGAGGTAGCGCTGATGCCCTGCAGGCATAGCCCCTCCTCTGGTCATATAAAGGTGGCTCCACCCTGACCCTCTCAGCTCCTTCACACCAAATGTTGTAAGTGCAGACTCCGATGCAGAGTAGATGGGGGGCGGCAGAAGTAGGTAACCGTTTTTTCTTCTTTGAGTAAATGCAGCTGCATATTCTATGTGGGTGACTTGCAAGCAGTAATCACAGAACATGGGGCTCGGAGACTATTTAAAGAAGGATTACAGAACTGCTTTCCCAAAGTTTGCATCTGATCTGGATGCAGCCTTAAAGGCACAATGGTTTGTAGAGATATGCACAGAGGACCACATGGTCACCCTGCAAATGTCCAATATAGGAATGTCATTTAGAAATGTCACTAATATCACCTGAGCTCTGTGAAATGAGCTTGTACCCCTTGAGGTGGTGTAACCTGGACTATGCGGTCATGATACAGGAAGTTATCCACCTGGAGACACTCTGTGAAGGTCCGTCATTTGGTCTGCATAGGAAACAAACAGGCGCGTTGAGGAATGGAAAGGTTCCGTTCTGCCAAGATAAAATACTAGACATCACCTAACATCCAGAGTGTGGAGCCACTGCTCCTCTGGGATTGAATGTGGCTTAGGAAAGAACATTGGTAGATCTATAATGTGGTTCAAATGAAACTGGGATCTCACATAAGAGAAAAACTTGGAGTGCGGACACATGGTTTCTTTGTCTTTGGAAAATTGCATGTAAGGAAGCTCTGCCATCAAAGCATACAACTCGCACACTCTCCTTGCAGATGTTATCGCCACAGGTGAGGCAGTTTTCTGACACAGACGGGAATAAGAAGTTGCCAGAGGCTTAACCAAAGGTACTTTAACAGCTGCTAAAATAATATTAAAGAAACTGGCTCTTTAACCGGATAGGTGGAGACGAGCGACATCTTTCAAGAATCTCACTGCCATGGGGTTTGAAAACACAAACTTCCCATGGATAGGTGGATGAAATGCTGAAATTGCCACAGGTGGATCTTCAGTGAACTAATCACAAGGCCAGAAGACTGAAGGTGTAATAGGTACTCCAAGATGTCCTGGATAAAAGCCCATGTTGGTTGAACTCCCCAGGCTAATGACCATACTGAGAACCACTTCCACCCTGGTGAAGGGCTTCCCACTGTTAAGCAAGACCTGTTGGACTGCCACCGAGCATCATTCCTCCTCCTCATGTAACCATGCAGCATCCATTCTATGAAATGCAGGGAACTGATTGCTGGGTGAAAATCCTGACTGTGCTACTGAGTCAGGAGGTCAGGATGAAGAGGAACGGATATGGAAGGTTGGACCAACAATGTGAGGAGGTTGGAAAACCAATATTGTCTCGACTGCACTGGAGAACGAGCCTCAAGATAATCGGAATTGGAGGAATGGCATATAAGAGTGCCAATTCCCAGCTCAAGTGAAAAGCATCGATCAAAGAGCTTGAACTTAGACCCCCCTTGGGAACAAAACAACTGGCATTTCTTGTTTTCTTTCATGGCTAACAGGTCAATTGTCAGCATACTCCAGAGTGCAAAGACAGACTGCAGGATGCGGAGCTTTAGAGACCACTCGCGATTCAGGGAGAAACTCCTGCTGAGGTGATCTGCCCAATGAGTGTGGATCCCAGGCAAGTGATCAGCCATGGGGGTAATGTTTTCCCTGGAGCAAAACTTCCAGGACCTGATTGCCTCCTGACAAAACACATTGGAGTGCGCTCCCCCACTGCCTGTTCATTTAATACATTGCAGTGGTACTGTTGGTGAGCATGAAAACCACTGAGCCCCTGATGAGATCTTGAAAGGCCCGACAAGCATTGTAGATTGCATAAAGCTCCAGGACATTGATATGTAAAGAAGCTTCACATTCTGACCACAGGCCTTGAACCTTCAGTGACTCCAGATGCAGTCCCCAAACTATTAAGGAGTCATCAATGACAATAGTTCTGATGATGGTGACCAAGTGAAGGGAATGCCCCGACACACGTCCTGAACCGAAATCCAGGATTGGCAGTGGAAGACTGACCAATCTGTTCAAAGGATGACAGTATTGACGATAGGCTGACTTCAGTCACATTTTAAGAGGATAAAGTCACATGGCGTATTGGACTACCTGAGTGCATGCAGGCATATGGGCTAGCAACTTCAGGCATACTCAGGCTGTGGTTGAGGGCTGGATCTTCAGCTCTAGACATAAGTGACAGATTGCCTGGAATCGGTTGGTCAGCAGAAATGCTCTCGAATTTGTAGAGTCTATCAGGGCCCAATGAGCTTGATTCTTAGAGTTGGAACCGAAGTTGACCTCCCGCTGTTTAAGAGGAGACATAGATGATTGAGTAGGCATAGTGTGAACTAGACATGACACAGGACATCCTCTCTTGACTTGCCTCTCAGTAACCAATCATCCAGATATTGGAAGATATGAATTCCCCTCTTCCTGAGCTATGCTGTTACTGTGACCATCCATTTCATAAAGACCCCAGGGGCGGAAGACAGGCCAAAGGGCTAGTGTTGCTAGTGTTGGTCCACCACAACAAACCAGAGAAACCTCCTGTAGTTTGAGAGAATTGCTACATGAAAATAAGCATCCTGAAGGTCAGGGCAGCAAACCAGTCATTGTGGTTTAAGGCAGGAAGTATTGCTACCAGGGTGACCATCTGGTATCTCACATATCAGATGTATTTGTTAAGATCACAGAGGCTGAAGATAGGTCTCCCAAGGGTTTGAAAACCGGGAAATACTGAGAATGTAATCCCGGTCCCCAATGCTTCAAGAGGACCTCCTCTACAGCCCCAAAGGCCAGTAGAGACTGAACCTGCTAAAAGAGCAGTGTCTCATGAAAGGGGTCCCTGAAAAGCAACGTGGGAAGGGGGGATAGAGAGGAACTATATGGCATAATCCTCTTGGACAGTGCTTAAGACCCAATAGTCTGTTGTAATAGAGTCTCAAACATTATAAAAGCAGGTCAGCCAGTCCCCAAACCAGGGGAATGGGGAAGGAGGATGTACTCCTGGATCATTGTCTTGAGCACATGAGTCAGAACAGGCAGTTGCTAGACCCTGTGGGGATGGTGAGTGGGAAGGGGAGATGTAGCTGGCTACACCCAAAACCACAAGACTGCCTCAGTCTCCTTTGGGATCTGTGGCTCTTTCTGAAGTAGTGGTAGGCAGAAGGATGTTTTTTATCTTATTCTATCATCATGATTTTATATTTATGTTTCCTTCTATTTTATTTGACTGATGAGGGCAGATTTGCAATTTCAAATTTTTATTTCTACCTTATTAACATGTAAGAGGATGAATCCTGGGACATGCAGTTCAATAGACACCCAGAATCTCAGAATATATATTTTATAAATAGAGATAAATGTCAGCTAACTTTTCCCCATGAAGATGATGAACTAAAGTGAACTTTTGCCCCTGGAATTCCTTAACCTAGGATTAAACCTTGAACTATCATGCAAGAAACCAATCCATTTAAATTAGTATACTTTTCTGAATGTAAAGAGTTTATTTTCCTTTTATAAATGCAGTGTCTAACTGTTCATGTTCTTTTAAAATGCACACCAATTCAAAACTTACAAATAAAACAGTTAAAATATAAATTTCATTCCTATTTTGTGTTTCATACCTTCACAGTAAAAAACAGCCATGGAAAAGGAACTAGTGGAGAAGACCATTTTAACATTTAAATGGTTTATTTAATCACATTTGAAAACCATCTCAACTGCATAAACCATATTTAAATATCTATATTTTCAAGCTCTGTACTTTACACATTACACATAAAAAAATCCCTAATATACTGGCCTATATTAAGGATTAACAATCTATTCACATTTGAAAATGAAAGCTAATTTTGTAAGAAAAAAAAGACTTCATACCAATAACCTACACCCCGCCTATATTTATGCACCCTTCAAAACTTATAAATGGCCTCTCTCTTTAGAATTGAAATGTACAACAGAAGACACAAAAATGAGCATTAGGTTTGAGGAAACAGGTCTGAGGTCCCAAACGATCTCAAGACAATTTGAAATTGGGGTGAAAATATTAAGAAGAAATGAGAACTGCCATATATATATATTCCACTAAAGACAAGGGAAATCTCAGCTACAGCTACACACCCTTGATGTTGCGGATTCCATACATGGGTCCAATCTTGCAATACTAACACATGCAAGACCACTATTGAAGTCAGTAGGTTCTTTTCAAAAACTGCAGGATCAGTGCTAACATACTGTAATAAGGAAAATATGCCAAATGTATTAGCACATGGCAGGGTTTAAGCTATTACACTATTTTTAACAAATTGAAAAAAAGCCCAGGATATATCTTCTGCAAAGATTTGTAATTAATACATCATTTTAACCCTGACACGCTCTGTTAACTAAAAATTTATATTGTATTGTATGATGAGAAAATAGCTTACCTCTGTCTGAAGTATGGCAGCTCTCTGTTCTTTGGCAGTAAGCGACTCTTTAAGCACTTCAATGTGTTGCTTGCAATCTGAATTCTGATTGCTAAGGGTTTCAAGCTTAGTTTGTAAGGCGAGAAGTTCTGATTCTTTCTTTGAAAGTTCCTGTTTCAATTGGTCAATCTGCAAAATTAAAAAACATTGTTTTACATCATTAATCTCCAATTTATACTCACACGAGTTTGGAGAGATGAGAATAAATCTCATGTGATGCAACCCAGATACCTTCTGGAGAGTCAGGAGAAGCATTAGGGTTCTGATGCTGAGACGCCCGGCGCCCACAATTTCTATTAAGTTCATGTTTGCAGTGTTGTTATAGTCATGCTGGTCCCAGGATATAAGAGACAAGAAGTGAGTGAGGCAATGTCTTTTATTGGACCAACCTCTGTGGTGAAAGTGACAAGCCTACGAGCTCCACAGAGCTCTTTTTTATGTCTGGGAAAGGTAATCAGAGCATCACAATGAAGTGAGCAATTAATATCTTTGCAATTAGAGGACAAAGGAGGGTAAGTGGGTTATAGATTGTTGTAATGAGACATAAATCCAATGTCTCTACTCAGTCCATGATTTTTGAGGTCTAGCAGTTTTGAATTTAAGCTCCCAGGATGAACTTTTGAAGGTGTTGTGCAGGTCTCCTTTGAGGATGAGGTCAGATATGGAGTGATTGTTTTGTGAAAAGTGTTCACTCACAGTTGATAGGATGATTTTGTCTTTTATCATTTTTCTGTGTGAGTTCATTTGAGAGTGGAGTGATTTTCTTGTTTTACCCACATAGTAGTTGCTGGTGCATTTGATGCACTGGAGGAGGTACACCATATGTTGTAATGGGCATGTTAATTGTCCATTTCATTTTAAATGGTTTCTATACAAAGGAAAAATAAAGCTTTCATGCATGTGTAGATTGAATGCAACACCATACTCCCTCCAAGACCACAGCTATCATTACCATTGGCTGGAGTGAGCCCAGGTTATGAGCATGGCAGTAAGAATTAGTGGTAGATGAGGAATAGGAATTTAACCGAGGGGTGGGAAACAGAGTGATGGAACTCTAACCATCTTCCACTTGCCACACAGTTAATGCCCTTCACCCTCCATTTTCCTTCCCTGGCAGCTCACGTGGAGCTCTCCAGTAACAGGAAAGCCAAAGGAAAAAGTCATAATTAAGAAGAGGCTGAGGGGCAGGGAGGAGGAGAGAATTGGGGGGGGGGATTCCAAATGGTGAGTCTATTAGACTGTAATAGTTGTGGAAACCCCATCACTTAGGACAGGGGTTCTCAACCTGATGCTCATGAACAGGTGTCAGGAGGATCACAGCTACCTTGCCCTTCTCATATTGCTAAATGGGAGAAGTGTCCTGGGATGGAAAAGACTGAGTATTTCGAACATTTAAAACTGGTCAAAGCACTGGAGAATATATTATAAAGAACAATCCTAAATATTAGATGACATAACAGGTATTCTTCTTCTCAAGCTTCTATGTGACAACAGTGGACAAGCAAATTAGCTACTCAAATGCTCCATTGTGAGATACTTAATATTAGCTATTTAAATTACCAAATGACTTCAGCTCACATGGGGCTGAATGGGCAGTAACTTTTCAGAGATATTATTTCAGGCTGTCCCTCTGCTAACTGTGGCAGACACTTGGTTTTCATTTAAACGTTTTTCCTCACAACCAAAAGGGCCAGACATTTTTATTTTAAATCAAAGTTTAAATGCTATGAAGGTGACCAAAGAAGAGCTGGAACTGCCCTATCCATTCTCTCCTTTCAGTTTAATCCCAAAGGCCACTTGGGATGAGGTTAAATCTAGAGCTGAAGGGAGTGGTAGCCCAGAAAAAAAAAAGTTTGTCATGTTTAGCCATATCCTCACAATCAAAACACAATAATATGTCACAGCCGTAATTCTGAATTACTTAGTTAGGGTTATTCTCTTTTTCTCTCCACAAGTTTCAAAATGTTTTGTATCCACTAGGTTGGAGAATTTGGCTGGTCACCCTTTGTCTATTGCACAAAATCCTAATCTATACAGGAAGCTAAAGCAATAGCCTTTATAGTCTTAATTTATCAAAAAAAAAAGAAAAGGGGATGTAGAAAGAAAGAAAAACAGATGTTGGGAAAAGTAAAAAGAAACATACAACATGTATCCCAAAATTACTCAAAAAAGAAAAACAATTCTGCTTGGAAGTAAACCTTCTTCTTTCCTCCCCATCATTTATTTACTTTGCCAGCACATGTAAGCAAGGGCGGAAACTAAAACAAAAAAGGTACACAAAATATAGACTGGAAAAGTCTGAGTACATAATATAAAGGAGGAACCCTAGATCTGAGGCCAATCTAATTATATTACATGTTTTACCCTAGACCCTTGTGGACATCACACACACCTAATCTCTATTGGAAGCTTTTCACAGTTTTGTTAATGACACTACCAACACTCTGAGAAATCAACAAGCAAGGAAAATGGCTTCATTTTCATCACAGATATGCTCCTCATTGCTCAGAAACTATCTGCTCATTAGCATGCAGTTCCGGTTTGGAGTTCTGCACACTGTAAGGAGGTCAAGAAAATGTGTTACAGTTCCCGAACAGATCCAAGTTAGGATAACTGTGTCTTTGGCAAACTCTTTAATAAAAAAAAATAAAATAAAACAAAAATGAAAATGAAAAAGAAAAAGAATGCAAGAACTGGGACCTCTCCCTTAAAAAGAAATATCCAGGACAGAACAAGACCTCACAATTTTTATCTGATACACTCAATTGTTAAAAGGTTCTTGTACAGTATGGTTCTCTGTAAAAAGTTAAGCACTTCTTTAAACAAGTCTTTGACCTTGCTGAAGTGCACATATCAAGGTGAATGTAAGAAGAATGTTGACATGATCCGGTGAGGACCCATGCCTCTCTATTGGAGTCAAAGTAAAACAATGACCATAACTTCCATGTGAGTTAGAAATAAAGACTACAATGAAGATTAACCCGGATGTCTGGATATAGATTCTAGATCCAAGGCCAGAAGGGACCCATTGTGATAATCTAGTCTAACCTCCTCTATAACACATCACAAGCCACAGAACTTCCCCCAAAATAATTTCTAGAGCATATTTTTAGAAAACCAGCCAATCTTGATTTAAAATGGCCAGTGATGGAGAATCCACCATGACCCTTGGCAAACTGTTCCAGTGGTTAGTTACCCTCACTGTTAATGATATACACCATTATTTCCAGTCTGAATTTGTCTAGCTTCAACTTCCAGCTATTGGATAGTATTTTACCCTTCTCTGCTAGATTGAAGATACCATATATGGTATCCCAGGACCACTAATTGTCTCTATTCCTGACCATCTCATTCTCTGGAGAAGTTTGGAGGTGTGTGTTTATTATTAGTGTATTAGAATTTACAAAGAAAATACCTTGATGCTGTACAAATGCAATATTTACTAATGGTCTGCATGCAGCTGATACACCTTCCTTTCTAGATTTAAATTAAGAAGAGATGTAAACTAAATACATATTCTTTAAATATAACAATATAAAGAGAATTCTAGCACTTAACCATGAAAAGAGCTTTGTTCTATTGTTTGGCATCAATCAGGACTTATATTTATCAAGACTTCTTATCAGCAATCTCAGGTTCGACAGATCAGGCATAATAAGATCTGCCTGCTGACAGCCATATAAATACTTTTTCCACTTTGAAAGGTTCTCTGATGAATGGCAGAACTAGTATCTTTTGCTGCAAATCTCAGTTGTAAGAGGAAGGACAGGGCTGGTGAAAGAAGTTGTACAGTGTTTCATCAGAATGTGACATACTTATCAAAGTACTGATCTGAAGTTTGTGATGAAACAATGGTATGTATAACAGTCTTCTTCTCATTCATCTGCTCTTTAGAGAAAAGAACTATATTGAACCTCTTCCTCTCAAAAACACTGGAACTTCCCCTTTATATACAAGATTTTGGACATTATTTATACCTTAAAAGCTTCAATATCTTTTCTGAGATATTGTAGTAATTACATTGTAAGTCACTGAGAACTGCATACTTGTAGGTTAACCACATTTGAAAGCGTACTGTAATCTCACTAGTGGTAACCCCACATATGAGTTTTAAAAGACTGTATTGAACATAAAAAGTGCTAAAAAAAACCCTTTATATTTAAAGTAAGCTGCCAAAAGGTCCATAAGCTTTCATTTATCCAGTGGGAAGAATCTAAGACAGTAGCTAAAACATGGCAGGTGTCACGGGATACTGAAGATACAGGAGATCCCACACTTTCTAAAATTAAGGTAATGTACCTTTTCTGAGATGGCAAATCCTAATACCTTTAATATCATACAATGATAATTTTTCTCATTGTCTCCATTTTACACTCGGGATAACTAAGAATCAGAGAGTAAAATGATTTGCCTAGAAGCCAATGGGAGCTGCGGAGGCAGTGCTCGGGGAGAGGCGGGGGCAGCGTGCAGAGCCGCCTGCCGCTCCTCTGCCTAGGAGCAGCCAGGACAGGTTGCTGCTGGCAGGGAATCACCCAAGGTAAGCACCCCCTGGATCCGGCAACCCGTGCCCCAGGCCCCCTCCTGCATCCAAACTCCCTCCCAGAGCCCACACCCCAAACCCCAGCCCCACACCCAAACTCCCTCCCTCTTTGTTAACCAGCATTTTTCACTTACCGGCACCCCTCATCCCCCCTACATGCTAGATAAAACAGCTTTTACTGTATCTTGACTTCAGTAAGGCTTTTGACATTGTCTCATGAATTTCTCATAAACAAACTAGAAAAATATAGCCTAGATGAACCTACCATAAGGTGAGTACACAACTGGTTGAAAAAGCAAACAGAAAGTAGTTATCAATGATTCACAATCAAGCTGGAAGGGCCTATTGAGTGCGGTTCCACAGGGATATGTCCTGAGTCTGATTCTATTCAATATCTTCCAAAATTATTTGGATAATGGCATAGAGAGCACACTTATAAAGTCTGTGGACAACACCATGCTGGGAGGGGTTGCAAGTGCTTTGGAGAACAGGATTAGAATTCAAAATTATCTTGACAAACTGAAGAAATGGTCTGAAATAAATAGGATGAAATATAATAAGGACAAATGCAAAGTACTATACACAGGATGGAATAATCAATTGCACAAATACAAAATGGGAAATGACTGCCTAGGAAGGAGCACTTCAGAAAAGGATCTGGGGATCATAGTGGATCACAGACTAAATGAGACTCAACAATTTAATAACGTTGCAAAAAAAACAAACAACCCATAATTCTGGGATATATTAGCACGAGTATTGTAGTAAGCATGCCATGAGAATTAATTCTTCCTCTACTCAGCACTAATAAGGCCTCAACTTGAATACTGTGTCCAGTTCTGAGCTCCATGCTTTGGGAGAGATGTGGACAAATTGGAGAAAGTCAAGAAGAGAGCAACAAAAATTATTAAAGATCTAGAAAATATGACTTATAAGGAAAGACTGAAAAAACCTGGGTTGGTTTAAGCTGGAGAAAAGAAGTCTGAGAAGGGAGATAACAGTCTTCAAATACATAAAAGGTTGTTATAAAGAGGAGAGTGATAAATAGTTCTCCTTAATCAGTGAGGACAGGACAAGAAGTAATGGACTTAAGTTGCAGCGAGGGAGATTTAGGTTAGACATTAGGAAAAACTTCCTAACTGTCAAGGAAGTTAAGAACCGAAACAAATTACCTAGGGAGGTTATGGATCTCCATCCCTGGAGGTTTTAAGAACAGGTTAAATAAATACCTTTCAGGAATGGTCTATATAATAGTTAGGCCTGCTGCAGTGCAGGGGACTGGACTAGATGACCTATCAAGGTCATTTCCAGTCCAACATGTCTATGATTCTCCACCAAATCGTGTGGGCTCCACAGAAGCAGATAGCATCACCCCCTCAAGCAGCTTTTTCAAAATCCCTAGCAACAAATTTAAGCACACAAGGGGCATTTCCAATTTTCACTTCAAAAATTATCAGCTCCACAAAATTTCACATAAAAATAGATGTTGGATGCAGAGGAATGAATGCAAAAAAAAAATCAAGAAAAAAAAATTTGTTTCATAATCAAAATTGCTACAGTGCTTTTGACCAGCTTTACTCTGTTTATTATGGCCAGCCTCAACTTCATTATAGTCAGCTGGCTGTCCTTCCTCTCCTGCATTCCCCTCCCCACTCACTGCTCATTCTCATCTTACAGGAACTTATAGGTAAAATGCCTCCTTTTCCCACTTCCCAAGATTCATCTATGTGAATGTTTCATTCCCCCTCCTCTATCACTGCTGTCCTAGTTTTTCCACTTTAAAAATCTGATCACTGTACACCTGTACTGTAGAAGGTAGCTCCATATCAGTACATTGTAACTTTATAAACAAACAAGAATATAATCAGGAACACAAATTTTGGAATAAACTCATCATAGTTTGTATTTATTTTTTTAACTATTTAAAAAAATTAAATTGGTTGAGAAAAGAGAATCAGAAAAAGTAATCCAAAAGTACAAAAAACAAAATGTTGGGACTGCTCTTTAACTACATGGCAGCTAAACAAATGTAAATTAAGTGTAGTAAAAACGTGCAGCTGGGATCACAAGTTAGGTGCCAAGTTTAAGTCTGATTATTTTAAAATAACTGAGTGGTAGTATTGTTTAGTGAGTCTGGGAGTTAGGTCCCTGGGGTTCTATTCCAAACTTTGCTACTAACTGGTGTGTGACCTTAGCCAATTCACTTAGTCTCTCTCTCTCTCTCTCTGTAAATTGAGGATAATAATATGTATCAACCTTTGTAGAATGTTTTGAGATTCTTAAGTTAAAGGCACTGTGTAAGTGCAAACTATCAGAATTATAAAATTAAAATTTTTTAAACTATTAGAATTTTAAAATACTGTACATGTAACACACATTTACAATGGAAATAACAACTCAGCATCATTTATGGCCTAGTAGTACTAACCATAATACCATTATCAAGGTAATGAAAAAATTAACAATTAAAATGGTATGAAAATACTGTAGGTCAGAATGGAAACCAATAAAGTCATAAAGCAGCCTTTGGACAATGAAAGCAGGAGTTATAAAGCTGAAAAAAGAGAAAATGAAGAGACCATATATAAGATGTGGAGGAAAGAAAAAGAAACATAAGAAAGTGTAAAACATGAGAAATGTAGTAAATTAATTAATGCTTTTGCCGCTGAAGTGTGATGGATTAGCCTCCTCTCTACTTCTCCTGAATCAATACTTACAAGTGCCTTTTTTTTATTCCAAAAAAGGTTCCTGCAGCAATTTCTTTCAGTGCCAAGTACCGCAGATCTACCATAAGCAAATTCACAGAGGACTGCTTAAACTGAAGAGTCCAATTAAAACTTCTGTTCACATTATTTTAATACCATTAAACTATTTTATTAGTAGACTGTACCTTATTTTTCATGAACTTTGAGTGACTCTTGTAAACTTCTATTTGTTTGATCTCTTCTTCTCGGTCCTCTATATTCAGAACTCCATTTGTCTTTAACATCTGTATTTCATCTTCGAGATCCCTTATATTGCGTTCAAGTGAAGCTATTTTTGTGTCCTGGGTTAAAAATTTAAAAAAGAAAGAAAGAGAGAGAGAGAGAGAATTTGTAATTATATGAAACCTGGATGTTAAAAATTCAGTATTTGTAGCAATGTGGTACAATAATAATACACTAGCACAAGAAACTGGAACAAATTCTGCTTTCATTTATACTGATGCAGGGGTGATGGAACAATTTGTATAGTGGGGGTGCTGAGAGTCATTGAACCAAACTGTCAACCCTGTATATAATGGAAACCACTTCAAGCCAGGGGGTGCAGCAGCACCCTCAGCATCCCTAGTTCCAGCACTTATGACGTGTACTGATGTAAATCCCAGGTAATTCCACTGACACTGGCTTAAGGGAAAACAGGATTTGGACCTCTGCTCTCAAACAAAAGACAGCACGATGCTTGATTTTATTTTAGCATCAATTAAGAATGAGCATTTTGATGCTCGTGCATAATCTGGGCAAAATCCTGCCCTACATCCTAGAAGGCACACAAAAGAAGGACAATAGATGGGGACAGCAGGGCCAAACGTATATGGAAATAACTTATAGGCCTTGCCAACTACTTAGGGCTATCAGGAGCTGGCTGGCCTCTCAATCTAGTGGTCTCTTGAAAACAAGGTTACAATCCAGTCCTGCTGTTTTGAGAAATAAGAGGAGTCTCCTTATGTCTGTTTCCTCCACTGGTATACCCACATATAGCCAAGGGCAGGTTATATACTTTTCATCCTACCATCTCAAAGAGCTTTGCAAACAGTATGTAACCAAGTTAATTTGCAACAACAGAAATGCCACCTCATATACTGGTTATCAGCTTGTGCCAGCACAGCGCTTAAAAAAATCCAGTGATTCAGCTCTCATTTTCATTTGTTGTCTGTAAATTAAAAAAGCCACTTGGGGATGGATAGCGATCATCAGGACTTGTAGTACCTTCTCACACAACTTTCACTTTGAAAGAATATAGCAAAATGACTCAGTAGGCAATCTGTTTTCACACATCTATTAGGGAACAAATTCTCCATGGATCAAGCGCAGAGAAATTAAGTCCAAGAATACAAAGTAGCCAAGACATATTAGAAACTGGGATAAAATCCTTGCCCTACCGAAGTCAATGGCAGAAGGCCTATTGACTATAATGGAGTCAGGATTTTACCCCTTCTCTCTCTCAAAAAAAATAAAAGCTCAACCAAGACAAACTAAATTTGAATCTCTGTAGTAAAATAAAACTTTGTTTCTGTTTTCAGTTGACTGTACTGCCTGTCTTTAGCCAGAAACTGAAGTTCTGAGATATTAAAAAAGGTTATTCCTATACTACCTACAGACTATCCTGAAGTAGTCAGCACCAAAATTTTTTGCATGATAGTAAAGCCTATTTTCAGGATACGACCAGGCCAAATTTGCCATTTCAGAGGTTGGATAGCCTGGATACAGCTCTGATAAGCATCTGAACTTTTGACTACTAACCCAAAATGAAACTTTGAACCCTTCGAATTTTACCAACTATTGTTACATATCCAAGAGGAACCAAAGCTATGTAGGGATATACATTAATTTCTTTTTCTGCAAGACATTGTGTTGAGTTGTAGTATTGTTAACCTTTATTCCTGTAACCAATAATGATTTGCAAAACCAAGAAATTAATGGAATGCATTTATTTCCTTTATTAGTAATAAAGAACTGTGAAATGGTTGGATGGGAGAGAGTCGGTCTCTAGAATAATATCTTCTTCGGCTTGCTATGTGATAATTATCCATAATTTGGCTACTTAAATTCAGAGTATTGATAGATTGGTGGAAAAGAAGTAAGAGAATGAGAATTACAAGACTAAATTCTTATATGAGATGCCTATTTTTTCAGTCCCCACTCCCAGGCCTAATCCCTTATTACCAAGCATTTACTTCAAAATGCTGAGGTCTAGATCAGTGTTTCCCAAACTTGGGACGCCGCTTGTGTAGGGAAAGCCCTGGCAGGCCTGGTCAGTTTGTTTACCTGCTGCATCCGCAGGTTCGGCCGATCGTGGCTCCCACTGGCTGCGGTTCGCTGCTCCAGGCCAATGGGAGCTGCTGGAAGCGGCGGCCAGTACATCCCTTGGCCCGCGACGCTTCTAGCAGCTCTCATTGGCCTGGAGCAGCGAACCGCGGCCAGTGGGAGCCGCGATCGGCTGAACCTGCAGACGCGGCAGGTAAACAAACCGGCCCGGCCCGCCAGGGACTTTCCCTACACAAGCGGCATCCCAAGTTTGGGAAACGCTGATCTAGATTGTACCTAGGCCTCCATGGATGCACAAAAGAGAGGAGAACCCACAAAAGAGCCACCTTGTGCTTCTGCGGGAACAGATAAAACATTTGCTTTTGAGAAAAGACCAGGAGACCCTCGCAGCAACAGTATAATTAGGTGGAGATGTGCAAATTTAAAGTAACACCACAAACCTATTCCCCCACTGCACCAGCCAAAGGAGCTAAGCCAGCACAGGGGGAGCACCTAGTGGAACCTATTAAAAAGTATAGCAGAGACCACTGTTATATTCACTCTTTGTACTCCCATAGGCGCGTGCGCGCGCGCACACACACACACACACACACACACACACACACACACACACACACACACCCTCCCTACCACCCTCCACTGGAAGATTTTCCTAGTACACAGAAGCCTGTTCTCACAAGTGATCCATCCCCTTTCTCCCAGCTTCTGGCAAAAAGAGGCTAGAGACACTTTAGAGCACATTTTTGCACCCCTGACCATCCTGGCTAATAGCCATTGATGGACCTATCCTCCATGAACTAATCTAGTTCTTTTTTGAATCCTGCTATAGTGTTGGCCAGGTTGACTGTGTGTTGATTGAAAAAATACTTCCTTTTGTTTGTTTTAAACCTGCTGTCTAATAATGTCATTTGGTGACCCCTACTTCTTGTGTTAGGAGAAGGAGTAAATAACAATTCCTTATTTACTTTCTCCATGTTTCATGATCTATAGACCTCTATCATATCCCCCCTTAGTGGTGTCTTTCCCAAGCTGATAACTCCCAGTCTTTTTAATCCCTCATCACGTGGAAACTGTTCCATCCCCCAAATCATTTTTGTTGCACTTTGTATCTTTTCCAAGTCTAAAATACCCTTTTTGAGATGGGCTGACCAGAACTGCACACAGTATTCAAGGTGTGGGTGTACATGGATTTATATAGTGGCATTATGATATTTTTTGTCTTGTTGTCTATCCCTTAATGATTCCTAATATTATGTTAGCTTTTTTTACTGCCCTTGCACATTGAGCAGATGTTTTGAGAGAACTATCCATGTCTCCAAAATCTCTTTCTTAAGTGGTAACAGCTAATTTAGATCCCATCATTTTGTATGTATAGTTGGGATTTTGTTTTCCAATGTGCATTACTTTTCATTTATCAACATTGAATTTCATCTGCCATTTTGCTGTCCAGTCACCCAGTTCAGTGAGATTCCTTTCTAACTCTTCACAATCAGCTTTGTATTTAACTATCTTGAGTAATTTTGTACCATCTGCTAACTTTGCCACCTCATGGTTAACCCTTTTTTCCAGATCATTTATGAATATGTTGAACAACACAGGTCCCAGCACAGATCCTTGGGGGACACGGCTATTCACCCCTCTCCATTCTGAAAACTTCCCATTTACTCCTACTCTTTCTTTCCTGTCTTTTCACCAGTTATCCTTCTTATCCCATGACTGCTTAATTTACTTAAGAATGGAGAGACACAGCAGCCTTCCTCCCTGATTTATGTGGAAATGGTCACCACCTTAGGTATGACGCCTCAGAACATTCAGAGTACAATGTTATCATTACGGAAACTTTAAAAGGGAGCTCTACATCACATTGTGGATAGCTCCCCAGCTCTCCCCTGATGTAATAGTTATGAGGAAATTGCAGTCTATGTATAAACAAATGCAAGGACGTACAACCAAGGAACTGAAAAGAAGGACCATCGTGTCCTCTTAGCAGTACATGTAGCTAAACAAGAGACTGCCTTGTGAAATATTACCTTTAATGGATAGACCCCAACTATCAACCTCCACTTCCATTTTGGGAGAGAAGATTATTTCCTCCTTGATCACCTGCCTCATAATTCCCACAGAAACCTTTTCATTCAGGCTTTGCTGCTCTGACACACAGTGCTTTAGGAGGCTAATCTTCAAGAATGACAAGGTAACAATAAGAATATTTTCTATTTTTAATACTATGACTTTAAGATTGAATATCTGGTTCTCCCTCCCATGGAAGGAATATTTCTACATTCTACTTGTAGATTATAACAGGTTTTGCCCCCTTTGGTGATGACTCTCACACTCACAAATGGTTATGTAACAGAATTAATTATAAAAACAACTGTGTGGACGTTCCCATCTTAGTATTGAAGGTAGTGGGTGGTTTGGGTGGATTTTGCGCCTTTTCTTCCTTCTGTTTAAAATAAGATGTTTTGTTAAAGACCAAAGTCACACAAAATGTTACATCCTGGAAAATTTGTGATTTTATCTAATTAATTCCCTTTGCCCCTGTAAGTCTTCTGTCAACCCTATTCTGTCTAAAACACAAGAACAGCAAGTCATCTACAGTGTGAAACAAAGAATTCAAGAACATGTTAATGATTAAACACCAACAATTTATAAAATTACTACCAGAGTAACACCATGCATCATGCTTTGTGAAATACTGTGTACATTTATTAAATAGTTATATTAAGTCACAGAATCAAAAACACAGCACACTAAACAATTAAAAGGATCACACTAATAGATATTTTTAAGAAATTTCAGTATACAACAAAAGAATTATTTTAAAATCAGAAGCAATGCAGCGCTGGTTCTGCTACACAGAGAGGGCAGGCAGTTGCCTAGGGCCTCATAGAATCAAAGACTATCAGGGTTGGAAGGGACCTCGGGAGGTCATCTAGTCCAACCCCCTGCTCAAAGCAGGACCAATCCCCAGACAGATTTTTGCCCCAGATCCCTAAATGGCCCCCTCAAGGACTGA